CCCTTCTTCAGAAAATCATTTTCTGAAGAAGGGTCTAGGCCCGAAACGTCAGCCTTCCTGCTCCTCTGATGCTGCTTGGCCTGCTGTGTTCATCCAGCTCTACACCTTGTTATCTTATATACCTGTCCAAATGTCTTTTAAATGTTGTAGATGTGCTTGCCTCTACCACTTGGGTAACACCGTGGTTCAGTGCTCAGCACTGCTCCCTCACAACACCAGGGACCTGGGTTCAATTTCACCCTTGGGTGGCTGTGTGGAGTTTGCACATTCTCCCCGTGTTTGTGTGGGTTTCCTCCAGATGCTCAGATTTCCTCCCACAGAACAAAGATGTGCAGTTACTTGGATTGGTCTTGTTAAAATTTCCCATAGTGTCCAGGCTAGGTGGATTAGCCATGGGAAATGCAGAGTTACAAGGATACTGTAGGTGGTGTGGGTCAAGATGGGATGCTCTTCGGATGGTCAGTGTGGATTTGCTTCCACACTGCAGGGATTGTGTGATTCTATGACTTCCTCTGGCAACTCATTCCACGTACACAGCACCCCGTATGAAAAAGTTACCCCTCAGGTCCTTTTAAATCTTTCCCCTCTCGCTTTAAAGCTTTGCCCTCTAGTTTTGGACTCACCTATCCTGGAGAAAAAGACCTTAGCTATTCACCTTATCTATGCCCCTCATGATTTTATAAACCTCTTTCAGATCATCCCTCAGCCCCCTACACTCCAGGGAAAAAAGTCCCAACCCATCCAACCTCTCCTTATAATTCAAACTTTCCAGACTCACTAACATCCTTCTAAATCCTTTTTTGCACCCTTTCCAGTTTAATAATAAGTTTCAATAGCAGGGTGACCAGACCAGAGCTGTACGCTGTACTCCAAACGTGGTCTTACCAATGTCTTGTACAACTATCACATGAGCTCCCAACTCCTGTATTCAATGTTCTGGCGAATGAAGGCAAGTGCACCAAACACCTTCATAAGATTTACTCTCAGCCTAACTTTAAAGAAGACAACGCCAAAAATGAAACACTTGCACTCATTTATTTTACTGTTATGTTAATGATAATATTTCCTACATCTGATCTGCATGAAGAACTTGGTGAACAAAAACGTGATGTTACCTTGCCACTGTACGTGTGTCTTCGCCTGTAACAAAACCACAAAACAGTAACAATCAGTATAGCAGGAATGTAAATTGCACAGCTCAGAAACATGGGGGCAATGATAACCATCTGCTACAGGGGAACACCTACATACTATCACCACGTATGAATGGCTCAGCATTATATTTAATAACTAAAATATGTCTTGCAAGTCAAATGATGGTCATGATAAGAGTACCTTGGATCTACTGTTAAAAAGAAATTACACAATTCTAAAAGAGATAGTAGGAACTGCTGATGCTGGAAAATCTGAGATAACAAGGTGTAAAGCTGGATGAACACAGCAGGCCAAGCAGCAGCAGAGGAGCAGGAAAGCTGACGTTTCCGTTCAAGACCCTTCTTCAGAAATGGGGGAGGGGAAGGGGATTCTGAAATAAATAGGGAGAGAGGGGGAGGCGGATGGAAGATGGATAAGGGAGAAGATAGGTGGAGAGGAGATAGACAGGTCAAAGAGGCGGGGTTGGAGCCAGTAAAGGTGAATGTAGGGGGTGCAGTTAGGGAGGGGATAGGTCGGTCCAGGGAGGACGGACAGGTCAAGGAGGCGGGATGAGGTTAGTGGGTAGGAGATGGGGGTGGGGCTTGAGCTGGGAGGAATGGTTAGGGAGGCGGGGACGAGCTGGGCTGGTTTTGGGATGCGGTCAGGGGAGGGGAGATTTTGAAGCTTGTTAAGTCTACATTGATACCCTTGGGCTGCAGGGTTCCCAAGCGAAATATAAGATGCTATTTCTGCAGCTTTCAGGTGGCATCATTTGTGGCAATGCAGGAGGCCCAGGATGGACATGTCGTCCAAGGAGTGGGAGGGGGAGTTGAAATGGTTCGTGACTGGAAGGTGGTGCTGTTTGTTGCGAACCGAGCATAGGTGTTCCGCAAAGTGGTCCCCAAGCCTCCGCTTGGTTTCCCCGATGTAGAGGAGGCCACAACGGGAACAGTGGATACAGTATACCACATTAGCAGATGCGCAGGTGAACATCTGTTTGATGTGGAAGGTCTTCTTAGGGCCTGGGATGGGGGTGAGGGAGGAGGTATGGGGGCAGGTGTAGCACTTGCTGCAGTTGCAGGGAAAAGTGCCGGGGGTGGTGGGGCTCGTGGGGAGTATGGAGCGGACAAGGGAGTCACGGAGAGAGTGGTCCCTCCGGAAAGCAGATAAGGGTGGGGAGGAAAAAATGTCTTTGGTAGTGGGGTCAGATTGCAGAAGTGTCGGAGGATGATGCATTGGATTTGGAGGTTGGTGGGGTGGTACGTGAGGACGAGGGAGATTCTGTTTTGGTTGTTATTGTGGGTACGGGGTGTGAGGGATGAGTTGTGGGAAATGCAAGAGACCCAGTCAAGGGCATTTTCGACCACTGTGGAGGGGAAGTTGCAGTCCTTGAAAAATGAGGACATCTGGGATGTCCGGGAGTGGAATGCCTCATCTCGGGAGCAGATGTGGCGGAGGCGAAGGAATTGGGAATAGGGGATGGCCTTTTTGAGGGAAGAGGGGTGAGAGGAGGCGCAGGAACAGCATCTCATATTTCACTTGGGAACCCTGCAGCCCAAGGGTATCAATGTGGACTTAACAAGCTTCAAAATCTCCCCTCCCCCGACCGCATCTCAAAACCAGCCCAGCTCGTCCCTGCCTCCCTAACCATTCCTCCCAGCTCAAGCCCCACCCCCATCTCCTACCCACTAACCTCATCCCGCCTCCTTGACCTGTCCGTCCTCCCTGGACCGACCTATCCCCTCCCTAACTCCCCCCCTACATTCACCTTTACTGGCTCCAACCCCGCCTCTTTGACCTGTCTATCTCCTCTCCACTTATCTTCTCCTTTATCCATCTTCTATCCGCCTCCCCCTCTCTCCCTATTTATTTCAGAATCCCCTTCCCCTCCTCCATTTCTGAAGAAGGGTCTCAACCCGAAATGTCAGCTTTCCTGCTCCTCTGATGCTGCTTGGCCTGCTGTGTTCACCCAGCTCTACACCTTGTTATCACAGAATTCTAAAATGCAGGTTTCAAAGTTACAATATTTTATGGAGACTTTCTGTTTGTAAATGAATTTCTCCTTATTTTATGTAACTGATGTCAATCATCATTTTTCCCACCAGCCCAGGCATAGACACAGTAGTTCTATAATCAGACAGTCAATGTGAACAGTAGGTATACAAACAGGAGGCTTGAAGAACACAGCAAGCCAGGTTGGAGGAAAGGAGAAGTTAACGTTTCAGGTATTACCCTTCTTCAGGACTGGACGTGGGGTAGGGGGAGATGCACATAAAGAGGGGAGTAAGGCAGGTAGCGGAATGGGCGTGATATTTGGACACCAGTAGTAGGTATGACCTGGTTAGTCGATGGGAGCAATGAATTTGGTTGGTAACTGGAAGGGAGGGTTGCAGCTATTCAGAATGCAAATTTGAGGAACACCACCTTATCTTCCGCCTAGGCATCCTGCAGAACGATGGACTCAACGTTGAGTTCTCCAGTTTCAAATAACGTTGCCACCCATCCCCCACCTCCTCCCTTCCATTCCACCTACTGACCCTCCCTTCCAGCTACCAACTGGATTCATCCCTCCCATCAACCAACCAGATCGTATCTACCACCAGCGTCCACTTATCATCCCAATTCCACTACCCGCCTCCCCTTATTTGGCTGTTAGAGCACCAGGGGAATCTGTATTGGTATTTTTAACAAGGTTACAACAACTGGCAGAGGATTGTGATTTTGGGTTAACCCTGAATGAGATGCTGAGAGACCGTTTGTTAAGTGGGATTAATGACATAACCATGTAGAAGCGCCGACCAGCTGAAACCTAACTGGACTTCAAACAAGCACTACAACTGGTGCTGTCATTAGAAAATGCAGCAAGTGGAGCTTGGCAGCTACAGGGCATCCTGATGGAAGTGGACACCTCACCTGTCTGAATGAGCTTGGAGAACACTTGATTGTAGGAAATCACAGAGCCTCGCGCAGGGCATATCTTGATCAGAGGGACCCCACAGCAAAGCCGAGCCTCAGTCAAGTGGCTAAAAAGTTCTTCAGGATCTGGGCCAGCAAGCCATTGTAGTTGCTGCCGGTATGTGGACTCGAGACAGAAAGAAGTTCTACAAGGCCTGACTTGAGTAAGAAAACCTGTAGGCCAGTACCGAAAAGAGTGCAACCCCCCAAGAAAGACACCCTTCTTGTGGGTTGGAATAATTAAATTGCTTAACAACATCCAATTGGAACCAATTAAAATTAATGAGTGGTTAAATGATCACCTACTTCCCATGGAGGTTGACACTAGCTATATCTGTGGTTGCAGAATCTGTCTTTAACAAGATTTGCTCAGGACTCCATTCCTGAAGTTGGCACAAGGCCTCAGCCAGACTGAGAACATACACTGGGGAACCGTTGCCGATTGGGGGTACAACTTCGGTTCCAGTATGCTATGAGAAGCAGTTGGTGCAATTACCACTGACGGTAGTGAAAGTCTTGGGCCCAAGTCTGTTGGGGTGGAATTGGTTGCGATTCACCTAGATTGGCTCAACATTTTTCAATTAGAAAATGGCTGCCTCAGTGAAGTCCTAATTAAATACCCAGGAGTATTTCAGGAAGGGCTTGGGCCTAATAAAGGGATCAAACTCAGTTTACATATTGACCAGGAAGCAATTCTGAGATCTTACAAGGCCTTACAGGCAAAAGTTCAGACAGAAATCAGGAGGCTAGAGAGCGAAGGAATCATCAAACCAGAGCAGTTTGCAGAATGGGCAGCATCAGACATACCGATTGTGAAGCTGACAGCTCAGTTCGCCTTTATGGGGATTTTAAGCCAGCAGTAAACCACCTCTCGTAGTTGGATAAATACCCAATCCCTCACATAGAGGACTTGTACGCAAAGTTAGCAGGGGAAGTCCTTTAAGAAACTGGACACGAACCACACCTACCTGCAATCGAGACTGGATGAAGAATCCCAAAAGTAAGCTACAATTAATGCCCATAAGGGTTAATATCAATATACAAGACTGCCATCTGGGATATCGTCAGCCTCTGCCCTTTTCCAGTGGACCATGGAGAACATTTTACAAAATCTATCCCAGGTTGCAATTTATCTGGATGAAATAATAACAGGGAAGACAAGGAGCACTTGGGAGAACTTGGACATAGTGCTTAAACATTTCTCCCAGGCAGGCGGGTGCCTTAAAAAGGAAAATGCATGTTCCAGGCACCCCAGGTGACCTACGTGGGTTACAGTCAACAAAACTGGGTTACACCCATTGGAGGATAGTGAGGGCAATCAAAGAAGTCCTGGCTCCCACATCTGTACCAGAGCTTAGGTCTTCCTCAGGTTAGTGAATTATTACACAAAATTCATACACAACCCGGCCTCCATCTTTGCACCCTTACACCTGTTATTGGAAAAGGATCAGCCTTGGAAATGGTTGCGTAGCCAAGAAGTGGCCTTTACAGAAGTAAAAAAGCATCTATTGTCATCAAAGACGTTGGCGCACTACTATCCAACGCGAGCAGTAGCACTGACATGAAATGCTTCTCCATACATATCAGGGTAATGTTGGCTCTTCAGTGGCCCAATAGAAAGCAACGCCCAATAACACACGCCTTCTGGACTTTGGCTGATGATGAACACAAATATGCCGAGATAAAGAAGGTGTGGCAGTCATCTTTGATGTGAGGAAGTTCCACCATCATCTTTACAGATAGGAATTTGTCATTTTAACAGATCACAAATCCCTGCTAGGGCTACTAAAGGAAGACAAGGGGATGCAGCCCATAGCTTCTGGTAGAACTCAGCATTGGGTCTTTTTCTCCGCACGTACAAGTTGAACACCATCCAGGAAGTCAAGCGGCTAATGTGGATGCTTTGAGCTGCCTCCCACTGGCAGGTACTCCACCAGTCGTGTTTCCACTGGAAGAGTCCATTTTGATTTTGAACTTCCTGGACCCTGGGTCACTGCTGACAATATCCATCTGTGGACACAAAGATCCTGTCCTACTGAAGCTAAGAGCTG